TCTTTCTTTCTTTCTTTCTTTCTTTCTTTCTTTCTTTCTTTCTTTCTTTCTTTCTACTTTTTTCTTTTCTGGTCTGCTTTTCCTTTTGGTTTGATCTTTTTGATCTTTTCCTCCATGGTCCTGAGTCCCTACAGGGGGAGCCCATGTGAAATCTTCACTCTTCTGAAGAAAATTATTAGGGCAGTAGTTCCTGATGCTGACCACAAAGGGAGCACCCAGGGAGCTTCTGAAAAGACAGGTCCCTGGGCCCCACACCAGGTTAATTAAGGCAGGCTTCAGGGTAGCCCCAGACCTTGGAAGTTTCAAAGATCCCCAGAGAGTCCCTTGTGCAGCCTGGGTTAACAAGTACACCATTTGAGGTTTCCGAAGAGGAAGAAAAGAAGCTAGGAAAAACAAGGCTGGTTTTAGAGGAGCTGAGCTGGGAACAGATTCCAAGGCAAGCAAAGTGACATATTTCCTTCTAAAAATCTGCTTTCTGCCGGGGTCCTACTTCCCACTTCATTCTGTTAATAGCTATAGATAGATAGATAGATAGATAGATAGATAGATAGATAGATACAGATAGATAGATGTAGATATAAAATATATACAAAATAACAGCACTAGAGGTTCTTCAAGGTTTAGTTTCTAAGGATTCTCTTTTTAAAGGTACAGGTTTAAATGCTATTAATTATTCAGAAATTAGGGAAAAACCTCCCTGAGACAAAAAGTTCTGAAAGAACAGAAGTTTTCAGTGGAGAGAATGGGGAAGCACTAGCTTTGAGGCCAGGAACACCTGATGGGGAAAAGCCCCTGGTGGTAAAATGATGTAATTAGGGCCACTTTGGAGTTCTAAACATTCATATGGTTTAGGAGACCAGGCTTAAAATGTGGGATTTGGTTTCTAGAAAGATTGTTGGATGATGACAAATATAAATTTTCTGACCTATAAGTGATGTTAAATAATATTTGCCACCTTCCAGACAAAGAGTAAAAACCAATATACCAAGTTAGTGGATAAAGAGGGAAACAGGCAATTTCATATATTGTTGTAGGCAACATAACTTTGTGCTTTCTTTCTAGAAGGCAAAATACCAAACAACATCAAAAAACAAACAAAAAAAGGTCCTAAAGATATCATACCTCATTTCCCATAAATTTTATTCTGAAGAATTAATCCTAAAATAGTACAAGAGCTATAGCCAAGATTTACAGTGAAAAGAGTTCATGATGCCATTATTTCTAAGAGCAAAAATTCACAACCACCAATATTTCCAAGTTAGCTAAATCAAACATGGTATATTTAATAATATGAAATATAATGTAGGCATTAAAAATTATAATGTCCAGGAATGCAAGTGACATCTTGATAAGTGAAAAACTCAGGCTAAATAGTATATGTGGTTATGGTTTCCATTTTGTTAAAAATTACTACAAAGAGAAAATACTAGAATGACCTGGAATGATTAGTTGTTTTTTTTTTCTTATAGAGAGTAGTGGAATTTTCAGTTTCTAAAAGCAAAATGTACAACTTTTATGATTTTTTTTTAAGACTAACAAACTGTTTAAGTTGAGATAAAGGATAGGAAATATTTTCATTCTATCCCAAATATCTGCGATGTGC